TAATAATAAAATACAAAATTGTTAAAAGTTACAGTAAGTTCTTTATTTACAATTACAATTATCAATGCCTTTAATATGGTACACATAGAAGAAGAAAAATTTTAAAAAATCAATAACATGTCCATGTTTATTTGATTGCCATTATCATTATTAGAAGTAATGTTATTTTTACTATATTGTGATAGTTCCATCAACATACTAAAACAGAATTGTTATTGAAGATTCAAAATTTGTGATTAATATAAATATAGAGGCAAGCATACGACACTAAAAAGATAAGACTGTACAAAATATGTCTTTAAATATTCAAAAGAACACCCGTGAAAGATGGCCTTCTATGTCTGGAATCAGAAAACATCGCATTTTTATGATATGTACTCTTTACATACACGCGGCCACCAATCGCCATCTACACAGGAGCCAATACCGAGCTACAGCTGCTACTGTTGCTTTCGTATTCTGTTGTCGCTGCAACTTCAGTATCCATATAAACGATAGCTACGGTCATATACTTTGCATCGACATTACATACGTGGACACTGAATTCATACAGACCAGCCAGGGGTGCTGTAAAGATGCTTGTGTTTTGTCATATCCATTACCTTCGTTAAGTAAAATTTCAGAGAAGACGACAGTTTCACCGTCGCCATATGCTCTACCTGACATTGTATATGTGTTAAATGCTATCGTCGGTGTTTTCGTGAACTTGCCTGAAGCACAAATGTTAAGAAATTGATATTATGATCAATGGTAATGATTCTTGGTTACAGTATCTTGTGAATATGTTATTGATAACTGTACAAGAAACGGAGTTTAATTCAAAATGTATAAAATAGAGGAGAACATAACCCGTTAAGAAAGATTTAAAATTTATTTACTAGCTTGAAGGATCAGTTAGAAATTTTATTTTCTCTTAAACTCTAAGTAATACATTTCTTCATTGTTTAAAAAATATACAATTTTGATAGCGTTTGCTCATAATTTATTCAGCTTGATATCTATACAAATGAATCAATCTTACTTCTATGAATTAGGTAAATTTTAGTTTATTGCGCAATGGTCAATACTTATTAGAAAAAAATATCCATGCTTTATCTAAACAAAATTTTTTAAGATGTGAACATTTTAACATTAGCTGTTGACCAATTAGCAGAAATATAAATTCAAAGAGAAAAGTTGTTTTACTTACCAACAAGTTTTTCAAGCTGAACCGTTTTGTCTTTGAGTTCTTCACGGATCTTCTTGTAGTCATCAAGCATTTGACCAATCATAATCATTTAACCCCTAACATTTTTTAACATTTTTCTTGTTTAATTTTTGTTGTATCGATTACAACTTTCATTTTCGAAAGCGGTTCCTTGAAAGGGATTATACGGATAACCAGATATCAGAATCTGAATGCGAAGTTTTTATCTATCTTGGCACCTGTAAAAATCACAAATTGGTAAGCAATTAAACATTTTCAAATTGATAGATTGAAGAATGAAACATAAGATACTAACATTATTTTGTTTTGAATGATTATGGTTACTAGCTGGCAGTAATACAATCATGCTTAAGGTTTAAATTTCAATAACCTTATACTTCGGATATAATGAGAAAACTGGAGTCAACTGTGATGTCAAACTTCTATGGAAAAATCCTAACAGAATGACAAATAGGGTAAAGTGTCTTCGAGATATCACATCTGATCAACGGTATGATCATTTCAAACACTGGTGATCAGTAGTTAAACTGAAAATAGTGTTGATGATATTAATGAAACTGATGATCTTATATTAGATGATATTAAAGACAGATTGTTTAATAGTGACATAACTGATAATGAAATTATTGAGGTCTTGAAAAATATTAATCCTTAAATATCTACTTCAGGTTATTTGGTAGCAGATTATTTTATTTTTGGTACAACAATTTTATTTCCTTATTTTGTGAAGCTCTTAAAAATAGGCTCTGCACTTTAGGTGCATTTCCTTCAAATTGGTCAGAAAAAGTTATATCTATCTTTTTAAAAAAAGGGAACAATTGACAATTCAGATTATTACAGCAGTATTGCTCTTTTAGATATTTAAGTTATATTAAAAAAAATATTAAGAAAGGATAAGTAAGAAGAACATTACACGTCAACACCAGGGATGTTTATGTTGTTTTATTATCTACCGGTTTCGACCTACCGTGAGGTCTTCATCAGGATAAATTTTGACAGAAATTTGGGCCTGAAGTATTAAAAATGTACTAAAAAATATTAGTATATTAACAACTCGTGTAACTTTTTACTATAAGGCTCTACATAAAATAAGTAAAGCCCAATCAGGTTTTCGTAGTGGATATTTTACTATTTATAATGGCTAAGTATTGTATTTAAAAGTGTATACATATTTGGAAATGAAAGGTAAAACGGTTTAAGCTGCCATTAAGAAGGCTTTCTATAATATGTATTTCCTTTGCCATATGTAGTAGCCTTTTTTAGGGTGGGGTCAATATTATCAATAATGAAGTGAACACACATAGAGAAAAAACGTAATAGCAGCCAATTTACGAGAATTCTCAAGTCTTCTATACATATTACCAATATGTAATAGACTATCATTTCCCCGTGAAGTAATATAATTATAATAAATGTTAATCTTATCTTAGGCAAATGACCACCAAAATGATAATTGCTTCTTTAAAAGCATCTATATCTGCATATTAACAGCCAGCTAAACAATATCGAGAAGTTATACCATGCCTATAGCCTTTTTATAGTTTCTAAAGGTTGGCTATTGGCGTAATAATAATATAATAATATAAAATTTTAGACAAAACTTGATTGATCTAAAATAATAACTTGAATTCAACTTGTATTGACTCTTGCAAATACATAAGCCAAATATTTCGTACGATCTGCACTAATATGTGCATGGTCTTAGGCAGACCCATCCTATATTATAGTTCTATTCCCATGTGCAGGTTAAGCTAAAGATATAAACGACTTATGGACTTCTAAAAACGCTCAAATTGCAGGATTTCATCACATTTGTATTCAGTTTTAAATATTTTTTTGTTAGTGCTGTTTATGCATTAATGTATGGACATAAAATACTCTGATTAGCACAATTAATATCATTATACTAGTGAAGAACTTTATGTTCTGAAATGACAAGAGTATTAACAACATTAGTGTTTCATGTCATAGGAAAAAAACTCAAGTCTAAAAATTTGATAGATTAAACAATGCAATGCAAATACAACTTTTAATGCAATATTGGATTCGAATGCCCAAATGGAATAGTTTCTGAACTGTTTGTTTGGTTTTATGGTGTACCAACACAATTGAGGTCATATGAAAATGTTTAATATCGGATAATACAAGCTTAAGGCAAAACAAGGGTAAAACCCGTTTGGATGGGTGACTTTGGATGCCTTAACCCTATAAGGCAACTGGAAAGGTAAAGGAAAACAGAACCCTGTGTAAGATATTTTGAAGAAAGGAAATACTGTTATGATATGAAGAGTTATCATGTTTACATTTAGCATTTATTAATACGTTAAAATATTTTTGTATATTGCTATAACAACATGGCACTGTCGATGATTTGAACGTACAAACGGCAAATTCTATATGATTGCTATCAACACAATCTTACATGTTTGCATTTCGGTGTCCAAAAAATGGTCAGCTTTAGCTATACCTTAGGTGCACCTTCATATATTATTGCCGACACAAGTGAATATCTGTCAAAAACCAAAAACATGTTTGGAATAAGAGTGAGGTTTAGTGCACCATTAACCGGTTTAAACTCGCAGTACTTGTGCTGTTGACCGTTCCAAGGCGGAGCCCCTCTGTGTTCCTCAGATGTATGTCTTTGTCGTTTTATACTGTTTTGCTGTCACTTTTGTTTGTGCCCCATGTTCTTCTTCTCGTGTACGGTAAGTACCTTCCTCCTTGGCTCTAGTGTTATTTCTTTAATCCCTCCTTTCTTTAAGCCCCCCTTCCCCGAATGTCCTATGCCTTTCCCTGTGCCCTTTTACTTTGTGGGCCTATTATTCAATAATTTATGTGTGTCGACATGCACATCGGTAATGTGATAAAGCGAAGCCTCTGTAGAAATAAACGTGTCTTGTAAAAAGTCCAGCTTGTGTGTCAGGATATCTTGGGGGGGGGGGGTAAATTGAAAAAAAAGAATCTCTAAGAACACACGAGAAATTGCAAATAATTCAGTTTCTGTCAAGGAAACTTTGGGGTGTGTGGGGAAATAAAAAAAATTAATCATTTAAGAACACACAAAACGGCGAAATTGCAAATAATTAAGTTTCAGTTTAATTGAGCAAGTTTCTGGACGGTCAGCAAAACACATCATTAAAACACGAAAATGGTGACATCGAGAAACCACCGCTGATGTGTTTATACGGCGGTTATGCCGGACTCACGATCAATTTACCCAAAGCAACAGAAGTTTTTTTTTAAAAGACCTACATTGAACTATCGATAAAACAAAATCCGGATAAATGAGATGAAATATTTTCCATGGAATATCAAGTAAAACATTCAACTTTCAGTTTTAAACAATCAAAGAATACTCAATTCAGCGAATAAACACGTCTAGTAAAATATTCCATAATTCTTTAAACAACGACTTGGTTATTTATTATATAATCATCTGGTGAAACAAAGTAACCATTGAGAAGATCATCAAGAAAATCGTAGTTTGTGAATATGAAGTTTACGTCACTGATATCACTGTCAAAACGATCTAATACGTCGCTTTAATGCTGAAATACTTATTTGACATAAAATTTATTCGAAATTACCTGATATCAAAAACGAGAATCGGGTTATAGTGGTCGTTCATTCATCATAAATGTTGAATAATAAAATACAAAATTGTTAAAAGTTACAGTAAGTTCTTTATTTACAATTACAATTATCAATGCCTTTAATATGGTACACATAGAAGAAGAAAATTTTTAAAAAATCAATAACATGTCCATGTTTATTTGATTGCCATTATCATTATTAGAAGTAATGTTATTTTTACTATATTGTGATAGTTCCATCAACATACTAAAACAGAATTGTTATTGAAGATTCAAAATTTGTGATTAGTATAAATATAGAGGCAAGCATACGACACTAAAAAGATAAGACTGTACAAAATATGTCTTTAAATATTCAAAAGAACACCCGTGAAAGATGGCCTTCTATGTCTGGAATCAGAAAACATTGCATTTTTATGATATGTACTCTTTACATACACGCGGCCACCAATCGCCATCTTCACAGGAGCCAATACCGGGCTACAGCTGCTACTGTTGCTTTCGTATTCTGTTGTCGCTGCAACTTCAGTATCCATATAAACGATAGCTACGGTCATAAACTTTGCATCGACATTACATAAGTGGACACTGAATTCATACAGACCAGCCAGGGGTGCTGTAAAGATTCCTGTGCTTTTGTCATATCCATTACCTTCGTTAAGTAAAATTTCAGAGAAGACGACAGTTTCACCGTCGCCATAGACTCGACCTGGCATTAAATATGCGTTAAATGCTATCGTCGGTGTTTTTGTGAAATTGCCTGAAGCACAAATGTTAAGAAATTGATATTATGATCAATGGTAATGATACTTGGTTACAGTATATTGTGAATATGTTATTGATAACTGAAAAAGAAACGGAGAAGAAAGTTATTGTTTAATTCGAAGTGTATAAAAATGAGAAGAACATTACCCCTTAAGAAAGATTTAAAATTTATTTACTAGCTTGAAGGATCAGTTAGAAATTTTATTTTCTCTTAAACTCTAAGTAATACATTTCTACATTTATTTTTTTTTACAATTTTGATGGCGTTTGTTCATAATTTATTTAGCTGGTTATTCATACAAATGAATCTATGTTACTTCTAACGTATTAAATAAGGTAAATTTTAGTTTATTGCGCAATGGTCAATACTTCCAGGCTTTATCTAAACAAAATTTTTTGAAGATGTGAACAATTAAGCATTAGCTGTTGACCAATAAGCAGAAATAAAATTTCAAACAGAAAAGTTGTTAAACTTACCAGCAAACTTTTCAAGCTGAGCCGTTTTGTCTTTGAGTTCTTCACGGATCTTCTTGTAGTCATCAAGCATTTGACCAATTTGTTGATTTTGTTTCACAAACTCTCGTTTCATTTCCTGCTTCCGATGTTCCATTATAGACAACATGTTCTCTTCAAAAGTTTCCTTTTCTTTATCCCACTGATTCATTTTAGCTTCCATTCTGACCATTGTCTCTAACATTTGTTTGTCATATTTGAATTTTGAACATGCCGGCTCTATATCGGGTTCACTTGCTGTTGAGTAGCACACTAAAGTAAGAAACACAAAAGCTCTAACTGAATTGTAGTAACAAGCCATCCTTCTCTTAGATAACAAGTATAAGTGAATAATGAATAAGAAAAATGTATACAGACACTTTATACTTTAAAGCAGGACGTTAAATATTTTCAAATACCCGATAACAACGACAATGTTCATGTCCATGGACCTTTTTGTTGATGTTGCGTGATTTGCAATTTTTTTCTTCTTTTATGTATCTGACAATCTTTCAAAAACCGACAGAAAACATCACGTAATACAAAACATTCGCTTTGAAAAATAGTTATATAATATGTACAACTACGATCAATCAGTGTTTTTAGCGTGACTTATTCACAAAATATTATAGACACACACGCACGCACGCACACACATATACTGAAAATACTGGTCATTATAACACCAAAAATCCCTAATTCTAGACTGACGTAATTTTCTTATCCTTTGGGATAATTGATTTTAACACTTTTAAATGTTGGAAATAGAATACAGCGTAAAGCCTGTTTAAGGGATCGTAATGGATGTTGCACTTTTTCATTGTCCCCCATGTACGAACAGCAAATCGAGTTTGCAATTTTCATGCAATTTGTACTGATTTATACACTTTATCCAGTATTTTCCTATCGATATTACATGATTTCCATATCATTTGTTTTTGCTTATTACAATATTCAAATTGATTTCGATATAGCCGGATATCGTTATATCCGGGAGGCAATCAACTAAATAAAGTTACAAACGAAAAATATAAACAAACAAAACCCGGAATTGGGACCTGCATCCTTACAGCCGCTATAGTTATAAATAGATTTGTCTGTGTAATCATATTGCCAAGAAGAACCTTATAATTCATTTTGACTTTTTATGTTTACATCTAGAAACGTATAAATTCGGAATATTTTTATTGATTCGATGTTCCACAATTGTTTTTCTCCGCTTCTTCAAATTATTCTGTATTCCAAATACTTCTTAATTTGGAGCCCCTTCCTTAACACTTTTCTTGTACAATTAAAACTTTCGTTTTCGAAAACGGTTATACGGATAACCAGATATCGGAATGTGAATGCGAAATCTATCTTGGCACCTGCACAATCACAATTTGGTAAGCAGTTAAACTCTTACAAATTGATAGATTTAAAAATGAAAAATAAGATACTAACATTATTTTGCTTTAATTGATTCTTGTTACTAGCTGGCAGCAATACAATCATGCTTAAGGTTTACATTTTAATAACCTTATACTATCGTTTTAATGGAAAAAATGGAATCAACTGCTCGTTGTCAAACTTTTCTGGAGAAATCCTAACATAATGACAAATAGGGTAAAGTGTCTTCCAGATATCACATCTTTGACCAAAGGTATGAACATTTCAAACACTGGTGTTCAGTATTAAAACTGAAACTTGTGTTGATGATGGTATCAATGTTACTGATGATCTTATATTAGATGATATTAAAAACAGTTTCTTTAATAGTGACATAACTGATGATGAAATTCTTGAGGCCCTGAAAAATATAAATCCTTAAATACCTTCTTCAGGTTATTTTATAGCAGATTTTTTAAAATTTTGTATAACCATTTCATTTCCTTATATTGTGAAGTTCTTTTTAATAGGCTCTACACTTAAGGTGAATGTTCTTCAAATTGGTCAGACAAAGTTATATCTATCTTCTTAAAAAAGGAACAATTAACAATTCAGATTATTACAGAAGTATTGCTCTGTTAGATATTTAAGTAAATTATATTAGAAAATTATTATTTAGAGGTATTGCTCTGTTAGATATTTAAGTAAGTTATATTAGAAAATTATTATATGAACAACTCGTGTAACTTTTTACTCTGAGGCTCTACATAAAATAACTAATTGACAATCAGGTTTTCTTAGTGGATATTTTGCCATTGACAATGGCTGAGTATTCTTTCAAAAGTGTATACATATTTGGATATGAAAGGTAAAACGATTTAAGCAACCTTTAAGGAGGTTTTTATAATATTTATCTCCTTTGCCATATGAAGTAGCCTTTTTTTAGGGTGAGGTCAATATTATGAATAATAAAGTAAACACACATAGAGAAAAAACGTCATAGCAGCCAAATTACGAAAATTCTCACATTCTTCTATACATATTACCAATATGTAAAATACTATCATTTCGCCGTGAACTAAAATAATTATAATAAAATTTAATCTTATCATAAGCAAATGGTATATCGGGAATGACCACCAAAATTATAATTGCTACTTTAAAAGCATCTGTAAGCCAGCTAAACAATTTCGAGATGTAATACCATGCCCATAGCCTTTTTATGGTTTCTCAAGGTTGGCTATTTGTGTAAATATGAAAGTTTAAAGTTTTAGATAAAACTTGATTGATCTAAAATAATAACTTGAATTCAAATGTATTGATTCTTGCAAATATATAAGCCAAAATTTTAATAGTTCGTACGATGGGCACCAATATGTCCACGGTTTTAGGCAGTACCCATCCTACCTAATGGTGTTAATTCCAATGTAAGGTACGTGTTAAGCTAAATATATACATGTAAAACGACTTATGAACTTCTAAAAACGCTAAAATTACAGGATTTCACAACATTTGTATCCACTTTCAAATTCAATTTTTTGTTAGTGTTGTTTATGCATTATTGTATGGACACAAAATACTCTGATTAGCACAGTTAATATCAATATACTAGTTTAGAACTTTATGTTCTGAAATGACAAGAGTATTAACAACATTAGTGTTTAGTTTATTTATGATGGTGATCAGAAGACCCTCAGAAATATCGAAAATATTTTCCCGTTTAAACACGCCCCCCTAAGAACTGACAACAAACAACTCTAAGCCCCAAGCCCCGATGTAGAAAAGATAATCGTGCACATGGGAAGTTTTCGTTAGTAAAGCATTTACTTAATAATTTTTCAATTAGATAATCTTTAATCCTTTATAACACAGGTGTAAATGTAAGTGACAACAACTCGACAAAGAATTGCAACTCGCATGCCCGATGCTCTGACAATGTTTAAAAACTCTTACGCACCAAACCCCGAGCAATGAGAAAAGTGGTATTAAATTTTAAAACGGTATTTGATATTCGAATGAAGATATATTTAAGGTGTGACGTATTTCCAATTTCTCTGTAGGTTGCTGCTTTCAACACTAATTCATGGCCCAAAATCTAAACGCAACATCGAGAACAAGATGGAATCAATTTGCTTTCAAGAATAAATATAAAATTATCAACACTATTAACCTTGATAGTGTGTAAACTTTACTGCATTAGCATTCCATATAGCATTACATATGTACAACTTGTCATTACATGTGTTTTCAAATTATTTTCGGTGAGTAATTAAAATCTGAAATAACTTCCTACAGGAATGGACGCATATTTTACATACGCAAATTTTTGCCACTTTAAAAAACAAAATAATTTAAAATAAAGGACTATTGTTGACACATGGTTAAGGCTTTTCTATATTGTTGCAACAATACGTGGATGTTTTCATCTTGTTAAATTGTTATCATTCTTTTCTTTGTACTCTTATGTGTTGTGCTGTTTATCTAATTCTTTTTATTTTGCTATCACTATAACATGTCTGGTTTTACTTTACATATGAAATATAACTGTTATAGAACATGAATATTTGGGTCTTCATACAGTTTAGCAATTTTCTGAACTATTTTGTTTATGATTAAATTTTTCAGCCTTTTTCTATTGGATAGACAGAGTAGTTTGAATTTTAACTTTACTCAAATATGAATACTTGCCAAGATCTTTGACTTGACAAAGCTATGATTAAGAACAAACTCAGATGACATTTCATTTGATTTCTTTTTCTGTATATGTACATTAAGTGAGTAGTCATTAAAATATGTGATAGAGTTTTTAAGAATGTGAAAATGTATAGTTTTTTTTTAATAGTCTCTAGCAAATCAAACATTTAATTGGTTTCATATATGTATGCCATTTGTTTTATCTTGTATTTAATATTGATTGATATGTACATATATGTTATTGAGACTTAAATAAATAAATAAATAAATAAATAAAATAAATAAATATGAAATGCTAGAGGAAGTCATTTTCTTCCTTCTCCATCCTGCCCATTTTGAAATGAACCTGTTTATTTATTGTAATTTAGATAACAAATATTGTTTAAACAATTCTTAAGGCAGTAAATTGTTGAGTTACATTATTTCTTTCGTGAATTCCAATTTCATCGTTCGAAAGCAAAATTGAAATTTTTAAATAGTTTAACATGTTAAATTTATGCTTGAGAAATAAATAAAGAATTATAGAATCCCAAAAGTATCCTTAAAAGCCTTTCATGAACGTTAAATGCAAATCACCATTTTTTGTTTTAAGGAACATTGCAGTTTTGACTCGACATCGGACAGTACAATCTTGGTCTGCAATTTCATCGGAAAATTTGCTCTCTGCCAGTACACATAATAAATATTCTTTTAACCTATAAGTAAGATGCATACTATCCTACACATCTTTTATATGACACCACCGCATGCATCTCATTATTACATTATATACTAAATAATTAGGGAGAAAGAAACATTAGATTTTATAGTATTTTTTTCAAATTATTTGCTTTATTCATATGACATTTCGAGTGATATAATGATAATCTTAAAGCTACATTATTACCACATACAATGGTTTGATAAATTACAAAAGAAATAACAAATAAGGCTTAAACACTGATATATGAAACTACAGTTATTGTAATTGCACTACTCTCAGACATTCCAGCATAATATATATTTGGCACTTTAAAACAATTTTAGTTTTAGACGGCTGCACTGATATATATTGTGCACTGGATAGCACCTTTAACACGTGTCAAAAACTTATCGGACAAAACTCTCTTGTAAACAGGAAAATAATTGTCTTTTGTTACCTTATTGTTATACTGTTCTATTTTGAAAGAACAGCTAGCAAGATACGTGAATGGCCGTGCTCTTTTTAAATGAAATAAAATAAGTCCGAATATGATGCGTAATCAGTTTAAAGCAACGTTTATTTGTGATTATTAATATACGTGTACATATTTTAATTTCAGAAATAGATACGTATGTTTGGTTTTTTTCTCCACCTAAATATGTTTGCAATATGATTTAAATTGCATGGCCTTAAAAATGAACTTTACAAATGTGTTAAGCGACGCAAGGCAACCGTTTTTTATTTACACCATGTAACATGGAACACAGCTGCGAACAGGGATACTAGTAATATTGAACGCTTTTAAAAGGCATATTTTTCCTAGGAATCCATATTTATTTAATTCTTTGGCAATTCAAAAAATGGGTTTTCTTACATTTAAATGATGTATTTAGATCATGCTAGAATAAAGTAGAGTTGAATGTGCAGTAAAGGTAGGAACAATGTAGTATTTTAAGTTACCTACAAATTACTAATCCACTCAAATTATACAAATTGTCAACAAAGCAAAAGAAGCAAAGATGGTGCATCTCTATGGCAAATGTGTGTTTGTTTTGTTTTTTTTTTGTTGTTTTTTTTTTTGAAACTATGATATACCATAAATTTAAAAGCTTTTGTGAAATAGAAATGGTAGTATTTTAGGCATAATGGGCCTTTAATTATTTCATTCATTTTATCTTTTTTACCAACAGTGTTTAAGAGACAAAAGCATAATATATACATTACAACATAGTTTTCAACCGTGACATATTTCTATTATGATCACTTGTATGTAAACAAGGAAGACTTCCTTGTAGAAAGAAAAAAAATATATGAAAAAAATAAACAGTGCACCAGTTGAAAAATATATATTACCAGCGATGGGATAGCAGAGTTGCTGATGCCGAATATTTGATAACTGATGATCAATAAATATTTAGATCAAAATACTGTTGTTTTTTTATTTTATGCAAATATCACCATTTTTGTTAACAAAGGTAGATCAAAGGTCAAGCGATTACTCGATTTATATCAATCAAGACAACGGGATTGTTAATAGCTCACTGTCGCATTTTTATGGACCTGGCGATTTTTTTTTCTGTTCCCATCAGGGTTTAAGTACTCTTGATTAACCTTTATGGACCTTTGTCGATTTCGAAATAAAACATATTTCGAAAGTGCAGAGTTCAATGACCTCTATGATCATGCTTCATTATTGTTTACTCTTTCAGGGATTGTTCTGAATCCAATATATTCCAAAAGAAATTCAATGCAAGTGCGGAATAGAAGAACAGAAAAAAATATTTGGGATAGTAAAAAGATCATCTCGTTTACATCGCGCATCTTTAACAATCGTGACGTCATAAATAACATAGCAGGCAATGTATGAATTATACTAATTGATATAGTGTTGGATGGGTTCACGAATTTGCTAAACGACTGTGCGCTTACGTCACTTGGAAAATCGTGTGAAATTCGTCGAAATATGCTGAAAAAGAAAAAAACTAAAAGCACTAGATGCGACGGTCATGATTGGAAATCGTATAAAAGTTGTCAAATAAGGATGTTTTTCAGTCGCTAAACAATATTTTTGAAATACTATTCAACGGTTAAAATGATAAATATTTTCATCAAAGAAATAAACTGTACTCGAGTTCGATGTTTTAATTACTTGTATGGGTCGTAATTTTATAGTGAAAAGGAGTCTTTGGTTGGTCACCTCATTGCTGTCGTTTGTTCAAAAATGGTTTATACAATTTTTAGATAATTGGGATTGCCCTGCTCTCACCCGCTCATATCCACCCCTAACGCCCCCCCCCCCCATGGTCCTCAAAGTCAGCTATTGTGATGTTGTTTATAGTTATTTTATATTAACTGTTCTTAATAAATCTATTTATCCAATCATTTAAACGTCTCATTTGCCCTTAAGGAAAAACGCTTAGTGCATTACCTCGCTCTCACCCGCTAATATCCATCCCAACCGCCCCCACGGTCCTCAAAGTCAGCTATTGTGATGGCGTATATTGTAAGTTTATTCTCAAAACAACCGGACTTTTTTTCCTGCTCATTAATGAAAATAGTAAATTTCATTGTAAGTTGACAAAAGGTTGTGATTATGTGCACATTGTAGAAAAAAAGAACGAAAACGTAATTTCCCCAATGTCTAAAATTTTGGATTATAGAAATACTTAAAACATGTGTGGGATTTCACTTGATACAATAATTGTTTCAAATTGTACGGGGAAACTCCACATCACTCGTTGCAATATTCGTTTCTTATTTTCATAAAGTCCGTATTACTTTACTCCCCTGATCAGTGCATCAGCGTACCATTTCCTGTTTTTTGTGTGACCCGAATATAAAATCAAGAAGATATTTCCGACCCCGGAACCCCAAGTTTAACCCCCATCAAATGCTCCAGTGTGAACTCGGAAAACGACGATTTAATTTTCGTACTTTTTATTTTTTTCTTTTATCAGTAATTTCAAGTATTTTTATTATGCTTTTGTCGCATTTCTTATAAGGTGCGTATAAAGAATATAAAAACCGTTTTAAAATAAAAATATGATGTTCAGGTGGTAATAATTTTACTGTAAATATTGTGGTAAAGGATTGACAACCTATTAACTAAACAACTACAATTCAACAGTTTTTGATAATTTGTAACGTACGTGTTACTTTTAAAATCGTCCCAAGAACCGATATAGTAAATAAAAAACTTAGGGGCAACTTGATCAATCGGGAAAACAGAACATAAGATATTCGGAAGAAAACAGACAAGGTTAGAGATAAAAAGACAATGTTGAAAGGGAAACATGAAAATAAAGGCAATTGGAAGTCGGTTTTAATGACAGGGTCAAGTAACTTACTTGATTATCAGGAAAGTGTTATCTGGCATTATCGTGGCTGTTACATAATAAAATACAAAATTGCTACACATTGCTCATTAATTTGCCTTTTTGTAAAGGTTTTAATGAATATGTCATCGTCAAACATTGTCTCATTTAATGCTATGACCATACATGATAGATATATTTGTAGATTGACTCAGTTCCTTTCAAAACCTTGATGAACTACTTAATAAATCAACCTGTATTCTATGATTAAACCAATTGTATGATCTTGTACTAACACCCTTTTTATTTGTTGAATTATATCATTTTAACAATGTTAGTATCCGGCCGGGTATGGTCTGTTATGTATAAGCGTGCCGTTAAACCCAAACAAAAAAAGAAAAACTGATGCATAGACATTAACTTATTTTCATTTTAGATCGTCGGGACCTTTAATGCTGTATTCGCTCTGCATATTAAGTAGAAAAATTGTAAACATGGTACAACTATGTATATCTAATTTTTGTCAAGACCCGCATACATATTATTAATGTCCAATTTATTCAAAATCTTATACAAAGGTTTTAATTAATAAATAGCATTTTTATGTGTATTTGCACATAATAAGTCAACAGAAAGTAAGGTTATTAGTACAATAGTACGATAATGTTATAATTATAATAACCAAAACATAGTTATTATTAAAATGCAAAATATTCGCTGATAACTGATAAAGTAGACAAAGAAGCGTGCGACGCTAAAAATATTGAGTCAAAAAAATGTATTCAAATATTCAAAAGAACGCCCGTGAAAGATGGCCATCGATACTTGGAATCAGCGTACAGCGTACTCGGGTATGTAACTTTCACGTACACGTGGTCACTTATCTCCATCTTTACAGGAGCCATTGCTGAGCCGCAGCTGCTTGCATCGTTTTCATATCCTGTTGTCATAGCAACTTCAGTATCCATATGAACAATAGCTACGACCACATACTTTGCCGTGGCATGACATATGTGAGCATTGAATTGGTACAGACCAGCCACAGGTGCTGTGAAAATTCCAGTGACTTTGTCATAACCACCACCTTCGTTAAGTAAAACCTCAGGGAAGATCATAGTTTGATCGACGACATAACTTCTACCGTACCTTGTACGTGCGTTGAATGCTATCTTTGGTGTTTTTGTGAAATTACCTGAAGAGAAAAATGTTAAGGAATTGTTTTATGATAATTTTTATATTATCATAATTGTGTTTCCGAGTCATTTTGTGTTGTCAGCGTATTGTAAAATAAATTGATGACAATTAATTGATAAAGAAACGGAAGGAAACATTCTTGATCAATTCAAAATGTAAAGATATTGTAAATGTTGTGAAAAATCACCTTGAAATTTTACCCACCTTTGAACATTGATGTTTTAAAATTAAGTTTTTATATTCTGATTCTAAAATGATACTTTGTTGATGGTATTATAATCAGCTTTTATCAACATTCATTAAGTCACTTCTTTTTACAAAAAAGCAAACTCTAATAACTAACTTTTTCGACTAGGTAAACTTCAGTTAATTATGCAATGGTCAATTATTATTTCAGAAAGAAATATACATCACCAGGTTTGATCTAAACAAAGAACAATTTTCGATCAGCAAAAAAAATAAATGCAAACTACAGAATTGTTTAACTTACCAGCAAGCTTTTCCAGCTGAACAGTTTTGTCATTGAGTTCTTCACGGATCTTCTTGTAGTCATCAAGCATTTTACCAAATTGTTGATTTTGTTTCGCAAATTCTCGTTTCATTTCCACCTTCCGATGTTCCATTACAGATAACATATTTTCTTCAAAGTTTTCCTTTTCATTATTCCACTGATTCATTTTAGCTTCCGTTCTGACCATTGCCTCCAACATTTGTTTGTCATACTTGAATTTTGAACATGACGGCTCTACATCGGGTTCACTTGCTGTAGGGAAGCACAATAGGGTTAGAAACACAATACCTCCTAATGAATAATACATAGCCATCCTTCAGTAAAGAAGCAAGAACCAGTGGATAATGAGCAAAGAAAAGGAATGCAAACGCTTTATAGTTTTGAACAGGACGTAAACTGATTATGTTTACCCGATAACGACAATAATCATGTTCATGAATTTTTCTGTTGCGTGATTTGCAAATATTTCTTTTTGTTTAAGAATTTGAAAATCTTCAAAAATGAAAAAAAAAGAACGCTCAAAACAAAACATCAGCTGTGGAAAGAACTACAGTTAACTTATATATATCTAGGATAAGTCAGTTATAAACGCAAATATTTACAACTATCTGTAGGGTATACTCACATATTGAAAATAATAAATCCCTGCTTCTAGTCGATATAACATGAATTGTTTCGAATATGCAAAAATGAGAGATAATGTAACAAGGACATAAGGAAATGAATTAGAAAAAAACTTAATCATCTGAGTTTAGAATAGTTTATGCTGCGCCTCATTTATGTTTGTATTCGATTGGCTCGTTTGCGCTTTCTGAAATCATGACTACCTTGGTAACCATATGTCATAAAAAATACAACAAGTAAACATGTTACGAGTTCGTTTTAATTTGTTCTAGATTATACCTTATTATGATATATTAATTCAATACAATCACAAATTATTGACGCATTACACATCAGATCTTGACAACAATAAAGATACAATTGGTATCGAGGATTGACTGCAAATCTGTTATAAGTCTCTCTTTATTTCATAAAGTATATGCCGTTTTGTTGAAATTTTTAACTGAGCAGACGTCTGTGGTTATTGAATATCAAAGCACGGTAAACCCCGTTTATATCGATATTCAGGGGACCTCAAAATTCCTTTCGTTATATCCGAGAAGCAACAAATTAAATAAAAAACAGTATCCTTATAGGCGTTAAATCATTACAAGCGCTATAGTTATAAGTGCCGTTTGCTGTGTAATGATTTTGTCAAACGAAACCTAATAATTCAGTTTAACTTTTTAATTTCGGATTTTTTCAAATCTACAATCAGCTAAAATCCGAATATCTTTCTTGTCTCGAAATTCTGCAACTGTAACCACTAGTTCTTCTGATTTCCAGATCGTCAAAATACTAAACGCAAGCAATTTTCTCATACAATTTATGATGTATCAATTCAATCTACTTATTTCAAGTTACGCCGTAATTGCATGTTTTCTTTTTTATACCATCGTCCAACTTATGACTAAAGGCATAAATGTGATTATGAAACTGTAATACATACATAATATTGTACAGTTTTTGTTATTATAAAAAGATGTTATTGTATCTTCGACTTGTAGTAAAAAAACGAAACCCTCGAGTCTTGAATTTTCAAGAATCCTATTGAAAGACCTCTTTATTAAGAGATTAAGACCACTTTTTGCAGTCATTTGAGTGGTCTCTTAATACAATGTCGACTGTATTATTACAGCACTAAATTTATAATTCTGTATTCGAGCAGTTTAAATTTCTTTTGTACATGCGTTTAGAATTAAATAAGTGATCATCAAGGCAACGGCGACGTTCATAGAACGCAGCGCCGACACAATCCAAGAAACAGAACTACCGGTTAAGAACCCAGCATAGTACACAGCTCAAGGGGATAGGAGGGGATTTCACAATTGTGTCTTCTTTAAGTTTATCCTTGTTTATGTTGTTTATTTTGAATAATTATGAGATTTTAGATTGTTTATATATTATATTATTTCCGGCAGTGACATGCTGAATAAGATAATATTGTACAGAGCAAAGTAAAAGCAATTAATTCAATTTTACCGAAATAAGAAGTCGATTGTTTTGTAAATGCCTAAAAACAACAACAACAACGCAAACAATGTTAAAACAATTTTATTCTAAGTTATTACTTTAAGTTGAAAACTTATGGTTTCAAATGATAAATAGACGTGAAACTTTATAACAATGTTTATTAAAATATTGAAATGAAACGCAAAACAGCGACAACTGAATTATATTTTTTTATTTGTTTGACTAACTCAGTTTATGTTTTTACACTTAACATTCTCTCACTGTTATATGTTCTAGCCGCGCAAGCATACTAAGATAATTTCATGTGAGAAGGCTATCCAGCTACTTGACGGAACATCGGCTGTTCTACTTATGTGTCCGTTTGTATCTAAAATATTCCCAGAAAGCACCTGAGGTCTTTCTGCATCAGTAAGCTGGAAAGTTGGCATATGACATATACTGTGTTGGTGCGAAGTAAAACCAATCTTTAAGAAGCAATAAATGTTACACGAATGAGGGCTGGTGGTCAATGCTCTGCCTTATGCCCTGTCCTTCTTTATTGTTCCGGGTCCTCTTGGCTCCTTACCGCCGCTGTTTGGTTGCGTGTGGGTTGCTTTCATTGAATGCCGCCTTTCAGTAAGACCTCTTTTTATAATTAAAGACAAATTGGACGAGTACTAGTACAGGTCATTTAAAAAGAAAAAAAGTAAATTAACTGCTAGAAAATGGCTTATTCTTTTAAATAATTATAAATACATTAGTATGAGACAATACAAAGTGTTAAAACTCTCACATTACTAAAACTGCAAAGGCTGTATTCAAAACCATTCTTGAAATCTAAAAACTACATCAATGATCCCTCAGGACCAGAAGAGTGACAAACACTGAATAAAATATAATTTGCAACATTTTACTATGGAGCAGAATTTGGGTATTTTTCGCTGTTTATTTTCAATTTCTATTTATCTAATTTTTATTCGTATTCATTAAATTCTTATCTATAATCATATAAATTTAAATTGATTTAAACAAGTTTATTTGCTAATTTTAACTGAGAGTTAAACATTTGTATTTTGATACTGCAGAATGTAAGGATCAATTGTTTCTACTTCTTGTTTAAACCACGTGATTAGATATTATGTTGCATACTTCTTCCTTTTCAATTTGAATAATTTAGCTTTAACTTATAATCTTAAACGTCCTTTCTTTGAAGAATACAAAGTGGGTTACACAACACTGAAATAAAATCTATACGAATGCACCTAGACGATTACGAACTGCAATAACACGAATACGAAATTACATTTGGAATTAAAATTTATACATCTGGCCGGGAACCAATATTTCCGTACAAGTCCGTAATTTCTAACGGTGTAACCGTTGAAATATTATTTTTTAAAAAATCCACGAAATCCAGGGTAGCACTCCACAGTTAATTTCAAGTTCCTGCCGTTAATGTCCTACAAGCAATACGACTAATAATTCTGATATAAAACTACACAACCTAGAAAAAGAAAACACATTTTGTTGAGAACATATATGACATAAAAATGCAAATCCACAAAGAAATCATCCCATCTGCAGTAGGCAGGCAGTCAAAAAAGTTGCAATTCATTCCGTTGAAGCCATAAATCTTAAGTGGCCCGAGACCCAAAACATCACATTTCGTCCCTCTGCCAAAAAAAACCCTGCAAATGTATAGGCTAAAGGAACACCGTCTCTGCTTTAGCAACACCCTATACATGCAAATTCTCACAAAGAAACTAGTGCTCAACCTTGTTGATTATTTGCTACTGCCCCAATGTTAAATTACTAGTTTTTAGCGTGCGTGCTGTTTAAAAGCAATGTTTACAAAAAATGGCGGCCTTAACATCTATAATCAACAGCATGGTATTTCACTGTTTTTCGTTTGAGAAATGTTGTTAGAAAAGTGACCACTTATCGGCGCAGCCCCCATCAAAATCGTCCATGAAAGGGTTGCCAGAAGGGGGGGGGGTGCCCCTTTCTGTCTGGGGGGTTTGAAGAGGGCGGTAGTCCATCTCATCGCCAAGAAAATTTTGGATTTGTGACAAACTAAAAATGGCCTCAGGTCGATCTCAGTGTAACTAGTAACCGACGCTAAAAAGCCTTTTACTTATCTTAATTCATTGAGAAGTTGCAGAACTTTGAAATCAGTTTTGATGGAACAACACAATGCAAAATAGTGACTTTTCGCAATTTTGAGACGTCCCCCGTTGCCATGGTAACAGAAAATTTACGATTGAGCATGCTGTCATAGGGGCTATGGTCCAGTTAAAATTTTTGCCAAGTGTCATCAGTATTAAAGCATTTTTCATTGTTTCATCGCAGTTTGAACTTGTAACAGGAGGCTTTTCAATGAAAACGGCCATTTTTCACAATATGCTCACGGGGTAAAAGGTTAAATCCAGAATATTCACTATATTCAAGAAATCCTCCCTGGCCATTTGAAGCTGTGGCTTACGTTACTGTGGTGTGCTACCTATAAACTTGGATTAAATCCTCGCGTAGCATTGTATCCTCACACCTTGTGCTCACGAAAAATACCGATGCGATACCTAAGTTATTTCCCGTCACTAAGATTTTGCGCTAGAATTTTAGGTCTGGTACCAAGCTAGAACACAAAAAGCAAATAATAACCACTTGGTTTCTAGTTTTTATTAGTTCTGATGTTCTTCTTATTGAAATGAGTCAGTTTTACTTCGCTTAAGGTTGTTTAATGATAATAATTTCATTAGGTTAGAATCTGGATAAATCTCTATAACAACAATTCTTATAGCCTCTACATACACATTTATTTTCAGTGTGAATCTAATGGGAATAAGAGTTGCACAAATACATTTGTAAGAAACTAATTCGATAAAACACACTTATTCTAAATAAGTAGCAAAAGAACATGTTTAAAACAAAAAGTAATCTATTTGTATCTTAAATTTAATTAAACGAATAAAGATGAAGTACATGCATTGGCTTTAGAATATTACAACTTACTATAAACATAGTAAGAAAGAATAAATAAATATTTAAGTAAAGAACTTTGATTTACTCACAGATGAATCAAATTTGTAGGAATATGATTTCAACTTAAGCAAATGAAAGCTACAAGTAGTCAAATGAATAAATACCCAGATTCGGCTCCATATTTTACAGATGTCAAACATTGCTTAACAACTTGTGTGTAAAGATTTCCAAGCAGAACAGTAATTTGTTAGTGATTATGATTGTGTAAAAAGAAGGCAACTGTCACAAGAAGACAACTTTCACAATCATCATCTTTCAACAAATTTGAGCCAATAAAT